TTCAACAACTAGTAATTCAAATCATCTAAAATTTTGATATTTTATAAATAATATATTGATTTATTATATATTAAAATATTAAAATTATATTTAATTTGAATCATTAGATATTTAAAAAAATATATTTCAAAAACTTTAACTAAAATTTACAATTAAAATTATTTATATATTGTTATATCTCAGCTTCTAAAAATTCAAATTAAATGAAAATTTGATATATTATAGTTCAAGATTATGGCATATATATCTGAAAATTGTAACTAATTCTAATTAGTGAATCTTGCGATATATAATGTTAAATTTTAGTATTCAAAAACTTTTATATAATTAAATATTTATGAATTTATGTTTACATACATATCTCAGCTTTCACCAATTTAAATTAAATGAAATTTTAATATATTATAGATTGAGATTGTATCAAGATTATATGAAATTTTAAACTAATTCGATCAGTACAACTGAGATATACAATGTCAAACTTAGTGTTCGAAGACTTTTGACGTTCTTCTGTTGTTACCTCTTCAAATAAAGTAAGCAAATTAATTAGACTTTCTATAAAAATCCATTTACTATTTGAAAGATTTATACTTTTTAGATGTTTTTCATTCTTTCTTACTATATTATCCAAATTATGAGTTAATTCAATTGCTAATTGATCAATTGTATCTCTTAGATAAAAAATTCATACCTAAGTAATATCTGAGGAATTCCAATGAATATTTATATCACCAATTGCATCCAAAATTTCTTCATAATTCAAAGTAACTTGAATTGCTTTTAAATGCTCCATTTGTTTAGAATACATAAAGAATCTAATTAGCCTTTTAACTCTAGCAATTAATATTAAAACAGAAGCTAAACCCTTTCCAATTGCCAATTAAAAAGTATAAGCTGTATATAGAATATGCATAATATTATTAAAATAAGATATAACCTTTATTATATTTGAACTATTATCTGTTATTTCAGCAATTAATTTTTCTTAAAGATTCTAGGTTCTCATAACTATTTGAAGTGCATCTCAGATATACTCAGTTTTGTGTGAATATGGTAATTATTTTAACTTAAGAAGAATATCATAAATTTTAAGATCTGAATTCATAAAAGAAGCTGTCACACTAATATATTCTTACTTAGCTTTAAAAGTCTAAAAATCAGTTGTGAAAGATACATATTTTGCTTTAGACATTAAAAGTTTTCTAATAGTTAATTCAGTTCAATCATAAGATTAGTAAATAAGAAATTTAAGGTTTTTTTCATTTGGTAACTTATAATTCAGATTTAAGTAATAAAGAAAATCCTTCAAAAAGCTATTATTAACAGTTTCAATTAGTTTGGTAAAATGAAGAATCTATTTTGTTAATTTTCAATTTACAATATATTGACAAGAGTTCATCCAATGTCATTAGTTTTGTATTACTAACATTTTTTTAATATTTTCGCTTTTAATAGACTTATAAAATTAATAAAATTTTAAATTTTAATATTAATAAATATTTTATATAATATTTTATATAATAATAATAAAATATTTTGTCATCTCACCTTAATATGAAGTTTTCTTATTCAACAATATTATGTACGTTAGCTAAATATGTAATAATATTGCTATACTACTAAAAGAAGTATACAATGTTGAATATGGTTGAAGGTTAAGAGTTTAAATTGTAATTATATCAGATTTATTAGGATTATCTTTCTTAATAAAATATTTCCAAATAAAGCTTTTTTTATTAAAACTACCAGGATTTTCATGACATTTTTTTTTGATTGGTCAGTACTAAGATTCCTCAAAATCAAATTGAATCAAATATTTAAGCAATTTGAATTTGATTTGATTTTTTCAAATTGAATCAAATTGAATCGAATTAAACTCAAATATTTAATCGAATCAATTTGAATTAATTTGAATTTGATCAAATTGAATTGAATTGAATTGAATTGAATATAATTTTTTTTTAATTTTTACAATGATATATTAAAATAAAGTTATTCTAAAGTTTTAATTAAGAAAATTATT